TTTATTTTACTTAAAGTTTGAGAAGTTTAAATTTTAATTAGTTTAATCTTTTTTTTTTCTCATAAAATTTGTGAAACTTAAGTTTTTGGAGTGATCAAATCCTTACGAATTTCTGGAGTTGCCACTGTATATAATACAAATACCTTAAAATTTTGGAATAAAGAGTAAAGTTTGAAATAAATAGTAGATTGTATACTTGTAGGGCTGTTAAAATTTAGGATAAATTATAAATATACCCTTGAGATTTGCTTAAAATAGGAATTGTCCCCTGTGGTTTTGAAACATTACAAATACCTCACTGTCATAATTTTTTATTTAACAGAATTAATTAAAAAAATAAAATTTCTAACTGTTCTCCTATATAATAATAAAATTAATTATTAATTGAAATAAAATTTTAACATTATTAAAAACTGTTAATTAACTTGATGATTTATTAATAAAATGATTTATTTGTTATGAAATTAGAAACTTTAGGGGGCATATTATAAGTTCTAGAACTACAGGGGTAATTCGTAATTTGAATAAATCTCAGGGGATGTATTTGTAATTTATCCTAAAATTTAAGAAGTTAAAGTGATATATCTTAATAGTTTAGGAAATTTTTGTGTAAATAACTCCAAATAAAAATCAATTCTGAAAAGAAAAAATAAAACAAACGTGCTTTCTGCTCCATCCCTCAATTTTTTTTGTGTCTGGATCCTCTGGAATGGAGTGGGCTTCCATGGAGTCTTCTTGCATTGATTTTTTTTATTAAAAAAAAAAAAGTTTCAATATATATTTTAAAAAATAATTATTAATTGATGAAAAAATTTATAAATATTAATAATTAAATTTTAAATTTAAAATTTTTTTTTAGAGTCTGGAACTCTGTAGTCTTGCGGTCTCTAACGCTAAGGGGAAAGTGTTTGTTGTAGAACAGCTCCAAAAATCTAGCCCAAGTCAGACCTGGGTTGCTCTCTCGGGTCATCACCCACCATCTTCGTGCATCATCATCTAAGGTGAATGTTGCTAACGACACCTTCTGGGCATCGGTACTGGGAAAGATCTCGAACAGCTTTTCCATTTCCAAGACCCACGCTTCGGCCTTCATCGGTTCAATACCCCCGGAGAACCTCGGCGGTTTCATCTTTTTGAACTCTCTGATCAAGGCTATGGTGCCGTCCCCGTATAAAGCCTGCTGCGGAGGCACTTGCGGGGCTGGAGGAGGAGGAGGCGGAGGCGGAGGCGACGAGTTGCGATGGCGAGCTCGCAGCCTCCTCCTTCCTCCCTCTTCTCCCTCTCCCCTCCCCTCTGGTTATGGCAGCTCGTCGCAAAAAACAAAGAAGAAGAAAAGAACGAAGAAGAAAGAAAAAAAAAACCCATAACGACGTCGTTTTAGGGGGCTGCCGGGTAGGGCGGCCGAGGATCTGGATTCTTGTTGCAGATATTTTCTTGAGGCCAACTGTCAAAGTCTAGTCTTTGCAGTCAAGAGTTGAATTGGGTCAGTGGAGCATCATTCTCAGTTAATGATGGAGTTGCATCGGCTCTTCATGAGTTCAATGTGATAATGATGGTGTTTTGTTTGTCTTAGAATAAGAGTAAGAGAAATGAAATAATATGTATTGTATTGAATGAATTTATCTTATATAATAGAAGGTTTGTATATATAGGCTGAGAAAGAGTATACCTAACTATGAGAAAGAGTATTGTATGAGAAACCTAACTATGATTATTTCTAAATATATCTAGAAAATCAATACCTAATATATTTAGGAATACTATCTACACATTAACATCCCCCTCAAACTCAAAGAGGATAAACATCTTGAGTTTGGAAAGAAAAATTAAAACATGAAATAAAACTAAATAAAATAAAAGGAAAATAGATTTCAATTTTCGAACGGGAGCGCAAGGGCGTTTGAAATAGATCAGAGGCCGAAACTAATACCAGGAGACAGTTTATGATCGTGTCGGACAATTGTAGGAACTTGCCGAAACTGATGCTGGGACAGTTTAAGGTCTTGCCGGACCAATATAGAAACTAGCCGGAACTAATGCCAAAATCAGAGGCCGGAGTTAATGCCTGGAGATAGTTTATAATCATGCCAGATCGTTGTAGAAGCTAACCGGAATCATTGTCAGGACAGTTTAAAGGGGTCATGCCGGACCGATATGGAGAACTAGATGTTGAACCAGCAAGCGTGAAACACACATAATTTATGACGTGGTGCTGAACGATGATGGCAACAGATGACTGAATACACCCAGAGGCGGCTTATGAGAGAGTGCGCCAAGGAGCAGCTTAGATGATGTGCCAATGGGAGCGGTTTAGAGAGTGCGCCAAAGAAGACGACTTTATAAGGAGTGCTCCAAAGAAGCGGCTTAGAGAGTGCGCCAAGGGAGATGGCTTAGGGAGTTTGCATGGTGTATAACCATATTCACTATAATATAGGTATAATACTTCCTCTCAAACGCAAATAGGTTTGAAGATAGAAATTTATTTGAGGTTGAAGCAGAGAGAAAGATAGAGTGGAAAAAAAAAAAGGATGATCACCACGAAATGATATTAACAAGAAAATATGACAGCGGAATAGGTTGACGTCCCGCAGGTGGCCAAAGCAAGGTTGTCGCTCGCCAGTAAGGCAAAGAGATATTAACAAGAAAATATGACAGCGGAATAGGTTGACGTCCCGCAGGTGGCCAAAGCAAGGTTGTCGCTCGCCAGTAAGGCAAAGAACACTAAGAGCTTAACCTATAGTTTTGATACCATATTAGAATAGTGGAGAGAGAGAGAGAAAGAGAGAGAGATGAAATAATATGTATTGTATTGAATGAATTTATCTTATACAATAGAAGACCTGTATATATAGGTTGCGAAAGAGTATTCTATTATAAACTTAACTAATGACTATTTCCAAATATATCTAAGAAATCAATACCTAATATATTTAGGAATACCACATACACATTAACAGTTCGATTGTTGTTAGTTTTGTTTGGCTGTTCTTGGTGGTAGTTTTTTTTTTTCTTTGAATTTGGTTTCTCACCAATCTTTTGATTAGAGCTAACATATAATACCGTATTTGCCTTGGTGTCAATTTAATTGGGATGAAAGGAAATTCCACGATAATTTTTACTCTTTATCTTTACTTTATTGATATTATTTATATTTTATGTATATTTGATGCTATCAATAAAAAAAAAAATTACCGATAAAAAAAGTAAAATAAAAAAAAGTCTAGTCTTTGCAGTGTTGTGGAGGCAAGAATAGTGCCGATAAAAAAAGTAAAATAAAAAAAAGTCTAGTCTTTGCAGTGTTGTAAATAAAATAAAAAAAAGTCCAGTCTTTGCAGTGTTGTGGAGGCAAGAATAGTGCCGATAAAAAAAGTAAAATAAAAAAAAGTCTAATCTTTGCAGTGTTGTGGAGGCAAGAATAGTGCCGATAAAAAAAGTAAAATAAAAAAAAGTCTAGTCTTTGCAGTGTTGTGGAGGCAAGAATAGTGGGGACGAGACCCAACAATAATTATTAGCCATAGATCCACGGGATGCTTGCCATCTGTACAACCGAATCCATTCCAACCAAGTATGTTAGATCAAGCTTTTGCATGTACACAGCATAGATTGATTACAACGTTAAATTTATTTATTTATTTATTTATTTTTTTCACCATAACCAACGAGAAGGTAATAATAAGCTTGTTTGATTTCATTTTTTAGAAAATATTTTTTAAAAAATTTTACTTTCTTATTTTTCGTATTTTTTTGTTTTTATTGAATTTTTTTAATATTTTAAGTAATTTTTTATTTTTTAGACATACCTAACATAAATACACCTAAAAAGTAAAAAATTTATAAAAAAAATCTTTTAAAAATTCACTAAATATCAAAAATACAAAAAAAATATAAGAATTCAGTAGATTTTTTGTATTTCTATGTATTTATTAATTTTTTTAAATATTTTTTCACAAATTTTTTACTTTTTTATACATCTAATTAAGGTGCATCTAAAAAAGTAACAAAATGTTTAAAACTTAAAAAATATTCACTAAAAACAAAAGAATACGAAAACCAAAAAATTCAGTTTTCAAAAAACTTAATCCAAAAAATTCAAACCAAACACACTGAATAATTTTTAAATTAATATTAAGGTCTCGTTTGATAAGTGACTTTTTTAGTCAAAAAATTAAAAAATACTAAAAAAATAAAAAAGTCTAACAAATACCAAAAAGTCAAAAATTTCTTTTTCTCTTTACTTTTTGCTCATCTTTTTGTAAAAAATTAAAAAGTCATCACAAATATACTATTTTTTTTACATCTTATTTTAGCCAAAACGCAAAAAAGTTACTAAAAAAATTAGTTTCCAAACGAGGCCTAAGTATAAAAAATTAAATAAATTATTACAAAAATATTTCACATAAAATTTTACAATTAATTTCGAGTAAAATCGAAAAGAAAATATTACATGTAACTAGTGTATCATGAACAATGTAAAAAAAATCATATATTTAAGTCTTAAAATAAATTATATAATAGTAAGATAAATCAAATTTTTACAAAATTTAACTAAAAAATTTCATATAATAGTGATATCACGTCATTATTGACATATGATATTATCAACCAATAGTAAAACAATATATGAAGTGTGAACTCTACATGCAAATATAACTAACACTCTAGTAATTTTTACATATATATAGTAAGATAATTATATTTGCATATCAATAACGATGGATATTACCTTTATATTGAGATTTTTTCACAAAATTTTCAAACATAAAAATATAATTTGTTGTAATCACTTTATTTTCAATAAAACAATCACTATTATTTTCATAAATTTAAAAATACCTTAACATTTTATTCTAAATATTATTTTTATTTAAAATTTTATTTATATACATATACATAAAATAAAAAAATTCAAGAGGCAAGTGACCCACAATCACCATGTAGGTCCGCCACTATATATACAAAGAGCTATGTTAGGTACATGCATATAGTTCTTGCATAAATGGGGTGGGTTTTTCTGGGCAAGGTTTGTATTTTGTGGGTAATAGTTTTGATTCATGTCAGTGGGCACAGTGGTGGTTGCTTGGAAGGAGAGAGGAGGGGTCTATTGGAATTCAAGGACTTCCTCAAATCCAACGGTGCTGATGCAGACCATCTCCTCCCTACCTGGATTGATGAGAAAGCAGATCATCACAGCGATTGCTGTGATTGGGAGAGAGTCACGTGTGATCGCACCACAGGACACGTGACAGAGCTCTCTCTGGATAATATAATATATGTATCATATGCCGATTCCATGATTTGGTTCATAAATGCCTCCCTATTCCTTCCTTTCAAAGAGCTCCGAAGTCTCAATTTGAATAAAAATCCATTCAGTGGTTGGACTCACAATGAAGGTAACGCAAGTTATAAGCTAATAATATGTACGTCTATTTTGAGAAATATGTTAAAAATTAATTTTTCTACTGTTTTTTTTTTTTTGTTTTTTTGAAAAAATTGTGTTCACAAAATAAGAACCTTCAAAGTCTCAATCAACCCTAAATTACACAATGATGCCTAAAATACACTACTTATTTTTATCCTTTAACACCTCAATATTTAATTTATATCAATTGCATAAACTTTATATGATATTTTAATGTAGTTTCCCTTATCCTAAGTATTGACTTATCTTACTCCTTTCACTCCATCACTTTGATTGATTGTAATTAGCATGAAGATAGAGGGTTGTATTATCTCATGTCAGATTTGAACTTGAGGTGAGGCTTTCCATTAGTCTCATTGTAATAATTTGAATTATTCATTTTAAAAATCTCAGTATATGTCATTTACAAAATAAATTAGATCTATCAAATAATCATAACATTTTCATTTTCATTTTGTATTGATTATTTCCAAAAAAATAGACGACAAGTAGATTTTAAAAATAGACTATCCATTTTTTTTTTTGTAAAATGTGACAAATGAAAAGATTACGATTATTGAATCGATTTAATTTTTTCCGTATATAATATAGACAGGGCCTCGTTCGTTTTATAGTTTGGATCATTAAAACATGACCCATGATGGCCTTTAAGGATCTCTCAAATTTTCTCAATTTTAATTTGAATTTGAGAGAAGCGCAAGCTTATACACTGTTTATGTGTGTGTTTTTTTCCCCCCCACACACACATATATATATATATATATATATATATATATATCTTATCTTACTATAATATAAGAGGGAGTTGCCATAGCATGGCTCTCTTTTTTTCTTTTCATTTTTGCCCTTATCTTTTGTTTTGTGTTTGTGTCTTTTTCTTTTCTTTCTTTTTTTTTTTTTTTGGTTGGAAAATTTTTAAATTTTTTTTTTTTTTGTTTAATTTTTTTTTCTTTTTTGATAACACTTTTAAATCAATTATTTAATAAAAAAATTCACTAATTGTGTTCGATTGCAATTTTAGATTATAATTTATTGCATTTTTTCAACTAATTTGAAAAATAAAAACATTTTTAAGTTGTAAAATATAATTTTTGAAACTTATTTAAGACTCATAATACATATAGACAAAATAACTCTATTTCTTTTGTCGTAATTATAATTTTTGAGTGAATGTTAGATACTTGCACATGACATGTTACCAAACAAGTTTAACTTTTTTTCTTTTTCTTTTTAAATACAGAATATAAAAAGTTACCAAACAAATTTACAACTTATTTTAATTCTTTCAAACTAACAATCTAAAACATTATAATCATAAAAACTCTGTTTTTTTTTTTTTTTTTCGTTTGAACAGCCATAAAAAAACTCAGTTACATATGATTACAAAGTGGGTCATTATCTATCAAGGCTCTATTCATAATAAACTAATAGGTGACCGTGCACGTGCGATGCACGTGAATTTAAAAAGTGAGTCATTATCACACGTGCGATGCACACGAATTTATTTTTAAAATTTAAAATTAATTTTGTGTCTTAATATTATATGTATAGAAAATCTTAACAATTGAAAGTCAAATGCAAACAGATTTGTTAATGACTGATAAAAATTTTTGTCACTCTGTGTGTGATCCTATGTAAAAGGCTCATAAAAATAATTTCTTTTGAAGTTTTTTTTTTTTTCAAAAAAAATTGAATTCTCAACCTGAAATCAAATCCTCATATGTGATAATCAAATTTATCAAAAATTATGAATTTCACTTGCATCAAAATATTTTTTTTAGAAAAAAAAAGGAAAAATTTTATAATATACAAATTATGATTTGGTTATAACTCATGTATTATTTTGGTTATTAATCGAAAATATCTTTACTAACTTCTTATGTTTTTGTTATGTCTAAAGTGATGCATCAAGTCTTCAATTATGTTTCAAGTAGTATGTGATTATAATTTATTATAATACTTTCATATGACAATATTTAAATATTTTATTACACGAAAAAGTGCTTAAGTGGGTTGACTCAAAGATACGATTTATGCTTATATCAGTACGATCGTAAGAGTTATTCACATGGATACATAAAAAATTATAAATTCAAATCATAAACAGTGTCATTAAAGGGAATCAGACACAAAATCTCTATAATCTTAATAATTTCAATTCTCAAAGGGGTTCTGATTAATTATGCGATACATCATAATAACTGTAAAATTTTTATTCCAGCCAAATTATTTTTCCATATCTTTTCTAACAAAGCTCATGAAGGTGCATTATCAGTAATACTATAAATTCAAAATTTTTATTTAAAAATTATTCTAGAAACATCAATAGGTTCCTTAAATACAAACAATCATTTTTTATGAATCGTTATTTTTTAAAATAATATTCTACACTATTTATCATTTGACATTTGTCAATTTATCTTCTAAAAAAAAAGTTCAAAAAATATTGAGTTTCATTATTTTAATTAATCAATATCAAATTGGATGTCATGCATGTATGTAAATCCCTTTTAGAAATATGATGTCTGACATAAAATCACAATGATATTTACTTTAATTAATGAAATGATATTTTATATAATGATATGTGTTATGAAAGAATAATATTAATTTTAATTTAAAATAAAATTTTAATTTTAATTATTTATTTTAATAATTTTAGCCTCATTGTTCTATAAAAGTATTACTTGAATAGTAATATATAATAAATTTAGTTAAATTATTTGTTTATTTTGATAATTTTAATTTTATTGTGCTATAAAAGTGTAATTATCATATAATGATTTTATATGATATATATTAAATTATAAGATAATAAAATAACTACTCATTTTAATATTAAAAATAATAGTTAAATTAGAAAGAATTTTATGGGAGTGTTTAGAGATTAAAAATGTCAAATATTGTTACTTAGGGAGTCACCTACAAAAATATTATATTTGTTGAAGATATTCTTATGCCATTTCAAATTATTTCCCTTTTTTATCTAATTAATAGTAAAAAATAATTAAATACTTTTATTGCATCATAATCAAACATAATGCAATAATCTCCAATTTCTATTGAAGAGTAATGATATACAAATAGAATTCAGAAGAAAAAAAACCCCCCCCTAGAATTTGAACCCTATAACAAAAATAAACTCTGAGTTTTTAATTTTGTCAATTTAAATCTTAAACTTTTGATTTGGTTTCAATCTAAACCATTTGTCTTTTTGTTGTGTAAAATAAATAAGTAAAATGCATTTTAGTTACTAAATTCAAAGAAAATTATATTTTAGATATTTTCTATACACTTACATTGAATTTAAAGACTAAATATAAATTTTTCATCTGTTTTATTTAACAAAAATAATAAATGGTTCAGATTAAAAACAAATCAAAATTTTAAGTTTAAATTAATAAAATTAAAAATTTATAATTTATTTTGTTACATAGTTCAAACTGTGGGGTTTTTTTTTAATTTTGTTTTTTGTAATTTTTCCAATATAATTTTATACAAATTTATATATAGAATAATATAACTTCTTTTGATTACTTCGTTTTCACAATCCATCATCATCTTCATAATTTCAAAAATGTTATTGACACTTCATTATAAATATTTTTTTTCTTGTATGCATTTTTTTTTTGTTTGTAGGCAAATTTTCTTTTATATAATTTTTAAAAATAATATTGAGTAATGTTTGGTTTATTGGAATAAAAGTGAAATGTAATATAATAATTATTAGGGAAAATTATAAATAATAATAAAAAAAATCCAAGGGTTTAAACCCTATAATAAAATAAAATTTTAGTTTTTAGTCTCAAAAGAAGAAACAAAGCAAAACTACATTGTTTTAATAAAATTTTTGGCGATGGTTTTTCCCGTTGCAAATAAACTACCCTTTGAGACTGATAAAAAAAAAATTCAGCTATTTATTTGTGGCAAACACTTTTCGTCTAAAAAATATACATTATTGACGGTTTAAATAATCTGTCCCAAATGGTGAGGTTTTTGCGACGGAAAATTATTCGGTCGCAAAAGCTTCCGTGTTTTTAAGCCCCTTTATCTGGTAGTGTTAGTGTAAATAGATGCACTAAAATATTTCTTTCTATGCATGATGAGGTTGATTGGAGTGTTTTTTTTGTCTATTAGGTAAAGACAATTGGGAGAAGGGATTACATTAAATTAATCTGTGAATTTTAAGGATGCGATTGATATAAAAAAAAAAATTCTATACGGGGTCTTATGTTAGAGAAGGTGTGAGATTCTATACCAAAAATTAGGTGGGGATGGGTAGATATTTTGAGATAGGTGATTCGTCTCATTAAAAATAAGTCAACAACTAATGTGAGTTGTCATGGCAGTAAGGCGAGAAGATTATCAAAAAGTTGGAATCATATATAGTTTACACAACCTAAAATACTTTCACATATTTTTATATAAATTTTTTTTTTACGCATTTTAATGTATATTTTGTTTGTCAACCTAGACAAATAACAACTCTATAGACAATCATTGGCATTTCTTAAAATGAAATATCACTACAAGAAAAAACATCTTTGGTGACTAAAAAAGTGCCTTTGGTTGCTGAAAGTATAGGTTTTGGCAACTAAAAAAATATTAGTAGCCAAAAGTAAAATTTTTGGCGACTAAAAAAATTTAGTAGCCAAAAGTATAGGTTTTGGCGACAAACAATCTGTTTGGTCGCCGATATAAGGTTTTTACCGACTAAAAATATTTTAGTAGGCAAAAGTAAGGCTTTTACCGACTAAAAAAAATTTAGTAGCCAAAAGCGAGGCATTGAGCGACTAAAAAGATATTTGGTCGCCAAAAGTGAGGCTTTTACCGAGTAAAAAAATTTTAGTAGCCAAAAGTGAGGCTTTTTGGCGACTAAATATAATTTAGTAGCCAAAAGTGAGGCATTGGGCGACTAAAAAGATGTTTGGTGGCCAAAAGTGACGCTTTTACCGACTAAAAAAATTTTAG